TTGTGGATAAGATTTGAAAGATGACAAAGACTACCAAATTATACCTTGAGCTTCTCTATCTACATGCAAGAGAGAGAGAGAGAGAGAGAGAGAGAGAGAGAGAGAGAGAGAGAGAGAGGGGGGGATGCGGCGTATTATAAGGAAAAAGCATAGAGTGGTGCTAACCTGCGCTTCTGTTGTGGTGGTGGTGGTAATAAGGGAATGACGTGGTGGTGTGGGAGTTGGGGGAGGAGAAGCTGAGCATTTGCTGATGATGATGGCTTTCACTGTGAATATTATTATTACTACTGCCATTATTATTAGATCTCTGCAGCAAAGGAATATTATTATTATTATTATTATTTTCGCCGCCATTATTAGAAGAAGGTGAAGTCATCTTGGCCAATTTAAAATCCCTGGATTCGGCTTCATTCATTGCTCTCTCTTGCTTCAGAAATCCAAACCCACCGCCCCATTTCTGCGGCTTGTTACTATTACCACCCTCCGCCGCCGCCGCCGCCGCCGCCGCGGCGTTGGTTAAGGAGAAGCCGCCGCCATTGTTGGTCGTCGTCGGAGATGGAGAGCACACGAAACCGTCGAAGCCGACCACACCAAAATCCATAAAAGAAAAAAAAGATTACTACAAAGGTAACTAGCAGTTGGTGGTGTTGGGTGCGGAGACAGGAGCTGGGTTTGTTGGAGGAAGTACCGCCATGAATATTTGTTTATCTTTTCTTTAATTATAGAGAAGAAAGAAACTGTATGTATGATGTAATAATATGTATGTATATGGTTGAGAATGTAATGTAGGTGCTATGTTTGGTTTTGGAGAGCTGAAAAGGAGAAAACACAGTGGTTCTTGTTTAGTGAGTTTGATGTTTGTCAAATGAATTTTAATTATTGGAGAGAGAGAGTTATAGAGAGAGAGAGAGAGAGAGAAAAAGAAGAGAGAGAAAGAGAAAGATGAGAGAGAAGGAGAGACAGTAGATTGGAGGATGGATGGATATACTGCGTCTGTCTGAATGGTTTGAGACAAAAACTACTACAGTACTCTTTGGTACTACTATACATACTATCTTCTTTCTTACTATTTATTTATAATTTATAGTATATGATATGTACAAATGTAATGTGTATATATAATTATATATATACATATATATTATATATATATATTGTATGGGTGAATTATGGCCTCCCCTGATTTCTTGTCAAATTACGAAAACACCCTTCATGTTTTAGTAATTATAGTCACTCCCTCAACTTATGTATTATCTTACGAAAATATCTCTAGAGATAATTTTATGGATGTTAAATTGATAAAACCAAACCGAAATTTCGGTACACTAACATTTCATACCGTTTACCAAACTAAATATACAATTTGGTTCGGTAATAACAGAATTACATAAAATTTATATAAAAATATTTAAAAGGAAGAAGTGGCTGTAATTACACAAACAATGAAACTTTTTCCATAATTTGACTATAACTTAGAAGATGGCGGTAATTTGACCTATATTGTATTTCAACCGGTATAACTATTTGTCGAACAATGCTGTTTAACATCTAAATATTTAACACTTAAAAGAATCTTTTAAATATATTTATTGTGGTTTCCTGATTCACTTTAGGTATTCCTGGTCAAAGAAACGAAGCTTGTGACAAGCGATGGTTTCACAATCTCAAATAATTAAATAAGAGTCTAATAATTTATATAGCTAGGCTAATTGAAATATATAAACCAAGCACGTGACATCCATAGATGAAAATCATCACACCTAATGTATTAATAAATTACATTTAAATTTAAATGGGTGGGTCAATTGAGATCTTTAGCGTAAAAAAATGGATATTCTGATAATTAATTTAATAAAAGGGTAATTTAGGAATATAGGTTGGTCAAGCCGGTCAAATACATAGTGATTTTTAATATATTGACGAGTTTAAATAACTATTAATTAACTAAGTACACCTATACATTATTGTGTGTGATTATGAGCAGATCAACAATTAAAAATCACCGAATATATTTATTCGGTCTAGTTACTTCACTAAGCAATAAGCACACTTTGATTCGCCATAATACAATACTTACATAATCTTACGAGTAGCAATTTCACATTGTATTTTGCGTAACCGTAAATCAAACCAAAAGTAATAATATTTTAAATTCCTAAATTATTTAGTGAAAAAAGAAAAAAAGACAAAAAGGAAAAAGCAGTACGGACACACGCATGAAGGAAGTGCGACTTTTGGGGGGCATATACAAATTAGGGCATTGTCGCACAGCCTACACAATATTCTTCCAAAGTCTTTGAAAATATTTAGGGCAAAATATTTTTCAAAAAATATTTTCTTTTTTAAAAAGCCAACAAAAGAGGGCCGCAAATAAATAATTAAACTAATTGGTCAACTCATTAGTTTAATGGTACAAGCCCCATTAATAAATAACAAAAATAACTATTATTTTAAAAGAATAATAATAGTAAAATAAAATTGCATAATTGAAGGAAAATACGTAGATGAAGAGGTATATATAGAGTGTAGATATACGGATACTTGAGTCACATCATGTAATTGGAATCCAACAGCTGCCTGACTGACAGTGTGGTAAGAAGAAGACAAAAGAGGATAAAACTGTATAGAGAGAAAGGGTGGGGTGGTGATGGTTGGGGTGGGGGTGGGGGGTGGTGATTGAGACGTGTCAACGGTGGGTGGCGTGGTGTGGGACCCACTCACCACATCAATGGTCCCCCCTCTCCCATAA